GGGGGGCATCTGAAATGAAGTAAATTAATAAGTAAATAATTCGTGACGTCGCGCGCAATATTTCGTTACACAAGTAACGGTTTTTTCTACTACTAGTTAAGATTGGTTGTTTTTATTTCACCCTCTCCGTGAATCATCTTTGACTCAACGTTTATAACATTTTCAAAGGTCAGATTCGCCGTCCAAAAACAACACTGAGGAAAACCTATAAAGACGAGTGGAAGAACATATCTCTGTGCTATTCTGCCAAAATCGTGTCCCCTATGACTGAACAACACCCAGTTCCATGATCCTGTATACGTTATAACGTGTGCCTTGCAACACAAGAGCACAAGTGCAAAATGAATTGGGGAAAGGGAGGGGGAGGCTTCTGTCTATTTCCTGTATCCCCGCGGTAGCTGCATGCATAGGTAGGTCTAGGCCTGACGCAAAGCAAAACAAAACCTGTCTAGAATAAGTGCAGCTAACGTGAGATATGTAAGAGGGTGGAGTGTTGGGAAATGGCGCGAGGCGTACGCCGGGTCTGAGAGCAGAGAGGCTGGGCTCCCTCCTGCGTGAGCGACATTCCTATAGGCGTTAGTCATTTGGTACAGAGGAATTGAGTCTGGTATCGCGTACTGCAGCTTGGGTAAAGCAAATAAAATGATCACCAGATAATTATGAACACGGGGTATGATTATACTGAATGAGCCTGACTTGCATTCCAAGCTGTTGTTATGCAGTGAGAAAGTCAAGAGTCAACGAAATTTGGAGTTATTTTGCTAATTAATCCTGGCATAGAATATAGCCTGTGCGTGTGGTGTGTGGCATTTGAAACAACGCGAATCGTAGGAGCTCAGAAATGCATGACGCATTCTAGCTTACTGAGGATGTGAACAGTTACTGGAGTGGGCTACTGCAACAGAATTCCCGCACTGTCATTTGTTCACCCCCCACCGCCCCACCCCCGCCCTGCAAAAGCTACTCTTCCCAAATTATGTTCCTTACCTTGCTTCTGTTGCCAGCCTAATGGATACTCCAGTGGGATCTCCCCCTTCTACTTCGTTTCAGTGTAATTATGTTTCTAATTTGCTTCAGGCGAAATGTGGCCCCTATAGTTAAGTGAAAATCACAATTACCCATCTCAGAATTGATTATCATCGTATTCTGATCGTGACTACCCCCTACCCCCGACCCTTTTTACTTCAAACCTCCAGATAAATTACCCCCACCCCACCCACCACCTCACTCTCTCT